TTCAACAAAAATATAGTGATGCTGACTAGCAATCAGGTACTGCTCTAGGCACGGGGGATGTAGCAGTGAGTAAAACTCCTGTCCACACAGAGCTGGCTTCTCGCAGGAGGAAGAGACAATAATCACACTAAATAGTATCAAGAAGGCAGTGAAAAGTGCTATGGAGAAAAGCAGAAGTGGGGGACGTACCTTAGTGGGTAACATTTGTGATTTTCAATGGGTGGGCAGAGAAAGCCTTGTTGAGGTGACATTTGAACAAAGACCTAAAAAAAGTGAGTTTAAGAGTCAGGTCTGGGAGAGTGCGTTTGGAGGCATAAGGTACAAAGGCCCAGAGGCTGGAGGCACCCGTGTATCTGTTCACTGCTCGTGCTTGCTCTCTGTTTACCTATTTATGGCATTTGCTTTTTCTGTTGTTACTTGACTTTTTTCTTATAAAACTGTATGAGCTCCTTATTTAACTTTAAAAATTACCCTATTTAGGGGCCAGCCTGATGGCGCAAGCAGTTAAGTGTGCGCGCTCCGCTGTGGCGGCCTGGTTCGCCGGTTCCGGTTCCGATCCCGGGCGCGCACCGAGGCACCGCTTGTCAAACCCATGCTGTGCCGGTGTCCCATATAAAGTGGAGAAAGATGGGCACGGATTTTAGCCCAGGGCCAGTCTTCCTCAGCAAAAAGAGGATTGGCAGATGCTAGCTCAGGGCCGGTCCTCCTCACACACACACAAAAATTACCCTGTTTTGTATGCCATAAATATTTTTCTGGTATTTTCTTTCAAACTTTCTAAGAACCTGTTTTTAATCTGCTTGCCTTTTTCTTGGGGCTTTTATTACTTTGAAGTTAGAGAATAACACGTATAAGTTCAGCTAATGATTCAGTTCTATTCTCTTATAGTTTCCATTTAAAATTTTTTTTCCTTGATGTTTAATTACTGACCCATCCAAAATTTATTTGGCGTATGATATGATGACCTAAATTCTTCCTACCCCCCCTACAATTGTCAATTGTTCCAACACCATTTATCAACTAATTTGTGAAGCATCCTTTATTATATGTTAATTCTTATACATTATAGAAACTATTCCTGGGTTATTTCTTTTTTTCCCAATGATTAATTCTTGCACCAATATCAGTATTTTTAAAAACAAATTATGTGTCAAAATCTAACATGGGTCCCCATGTTATTCTTCCTTTTCAGAATCTCTTTTGTGTTCTCTCCTATTTTTTCTTACAAATGGATTTTGAAAATTTGAATCATTTTATCAAACTCCAAAAATGTCTATTGAAATTTTGATAGGAATTATATAAATGTAAACAATTACCATCTTAATAATATGCAATCTTCCCATTCCTGTGTTTCCGTTTAAGTTGAATGAAAAAGGCCGTAGGATTAACACTGGGTTAACTCTAGCTTCTGCTGTAATATGAATTTACCATATTGCCAGATCCCAATTAAGTTAGAAAACTGCATGTGGGTAGCTGCTTTGGCCAGTCCTCCCAGTAGTTTCATGATCTCCTGTTTTGCTGCCTTTATGTCATTTAAAAAACATTGTTTTAAATTCAACATAAATGTTTTACTGTTTTCCCAGTTCTCTCAGTATCCAGGGTTCTACTGTTTTTTTCCATTTATCTCAGTCTTCCCAAAGGCATTGCTGTTGTTTTGCTGATTCTTTTTATTTTTTCCCCCGAAGCCCCAGTAGATAGTTGTATGTCATAGCTGCACATCCTTCTAGTTGCTGTATGTGGGACACCGCCATAGCATGGCTGGAGAAGTGGTGCGTTGGTGCGTGCCCGGGATCAGAACCCTGGCCACCAGCAGCAGAGTGCGCGCACTCAACCGCTAAGCCACGAGGCCGGCCCCTGCTGATTCTATCTTAATGTTTTTTTTTTTTTTTTTCCAAGAAATGCTTTCTTTTGAACTTTTCTTAATGAGCACTTAAGAAAAAGGGCCATGGAGACAGGGTTGGCAGGTTAAAAGAACTCGTTCCCCTCTATCTATTGCTCTTGAAGTTTGTTCCCGCCTCCAAATCTCTAACATGAGGCACTTACAACCTTTGGGGAATGTGTGAGGAAAGAGGAAAAGGGTGAAGAGGGTGGCATTGTTAATTCTGACTTCTTTTGTGGGAAGTGCTTTACAAATAAAACCATTATGTTTATATGCTCATAGATAGGGATATGCATACATATATATGATGCTTTTTGAAAAATGAGTTTCGGGAACCCATGATTACATAAATAATAAAATGCATCTCCCACCTACTTCTTCCTGAACCTATTGTGCTGCATGTAAATGTAGAGAATTTTATATTTTTAGCAGATATTTCTCAACATTGCCTCAGAAAAATATGCCAGTAAGACATAGCAATCCCTACCAGTCACATAAAGAACTGTATGTAAAAACATTTAACATTTTACAGTTTACATTGTCCTTTTCACAAACCTTAATATCTCATTAATCCAGTGAAATACTATCACGATTTTACAGAGGCAGAAAGGGGTTCAGAGATAAGTGACTTAAGGTCACAAAGCCACTGAGTAGAACTATATCACAACCCATGACTTTGCAATCTAAAACCCAGTCTCTTTTTACTATGCCACACTGAAATCAAGGGCAAAATGTCCCATGCACACAAAACAGCCAACATTAGAGGGAAAACAAATAGCTTTGGTCTTGACCAGAGAAATCCGATTAAACAATCTGGTGAGGCTAAAGACTTTTTTTCTCATTGCAGTTAGTCCTTGTCTTAAGCCTTGGTCGCTGGTGTCCAGTGTCAAGAATGAACTCTTCTCTCTCATCCTCTCCTTTCCATCTGGTCCGCCGTTGGGTACAGAGTTTTGAGTTGCACAGTGTTGACTGTATCAGGTGGTTTCAGGGTACAGCTTATGTACAAATAGATTTTAGCTATAGTTCCTGATTCTCAGCATGGAGCAGCCGCACACTCGTCTATTGCTGAGTTGTCTATAAGCTTCCCTATCAGCCAGTGCTAAGGCTCCTTGGAGGCGCAGGGTCCACCAGCAAACCAATACACTGGTTCTTTGCTTGTTTTCTGACCCAGGTTAGCTGTTGGTATCTAAAGCAGTTACTCCCTTTAAAATATTATGCTAATTCCCCTAAGCTCCTCTTACATTCAGGCCTTCTCCAAAAGTTGAAGATGGTATAATTCATAACATCCACTTAGCTACACTGGGTTCAGGCTGCGAGCCTGTTCCTCAGCCCAATATCTTGGGGTAGTCATTCACGCACCTGGCTCAGCTGCACTGGCCAAGAGTCATCATGCATCTGCACTTTTCTGAGCAAATCCCTGAGATCTTGCCAACACTTGACAACACAAACAGACCCATTCACACAATCTTAGGGACTAAGTCTGTTCATCTGTGTCCTCTACAACTAGCATGTGTCAGGTACTTAGGAAAGAAATCTAAATGGATTCTCAGCCTTCTGCTGGAATTCACGTCTGTCAGACACAAATCACCCAACTTTAGGTCGTTTTTATTTTTATCAACTGTAATATAGGCCCTAGCCATACCATCTGGATTAGGTGTCTTTAAAAACATCATTTATCTAAACATATGTAGTGTGATTCCTACTAGTTCAGGAATTATTCACAGGGCAGTTATTGCCAATAATTCTAATGTTGCAGGGAAAGAAAACTGTAGCTGGAGTAGCTGCTATACCTACTCTTGCCTATGCACTTTGCTCTTTTCCCAAGAGAGGCAGACAGGTGTTAAAAAGTACTTTAGCATAACAATGTGCATATAGTTAACACTACTCTACTGTACACTTAGAAGTGGTTAAGATGGGGGGGCCGGCCCAGTAGTGTAGTGGTTAAGATTGTGCACTCCACTTCGGCGGCCCAGGGTTCGCAGGTTCGGATCCCAGGCACAGACTGACGCACCGCTTATCAAGCCATGCTGTGGTGGCGTCCCATATAAAGTAGAGGAAGATGGGCACGGATGTTAGCCCAGGGCCAATCTTCCTCAGCAAAAAGAGGAGGATTGGCAATAGATGTTAGTTCAGGGCTAATCTTCCTCACCAAAAAGAAAAAAAAAATGGTTAAAACAGTAATTTTATATTTTTTACCACAATAAAAAAGAGAAGAAAAAGTACTTAAAAATTTACCAGTGCTAGAAATCTTAGAACAACTCTTGGAAAAGAAAATCAGAGAAGCCCTCACATCCTCATTGGAAACTCACTGCTAGAATACAACAAAATGAGCAGCTAGCTACCCAAATGTACAAAACAGTCATCTCTCATAGATAACATCTTACACACTCTGATCTCTGGTTAGGCTGGTTGAGTCCAAGTCTTTTCACAGAATTTGCAAAGCCCTTCATGGTCTAGCCTCTGTCTATTTCATATGGTCAACTCTTACTAGTCAGTGGTCTTTTTTCAATTCCTGGAACAAGACAATTTCTTCTTACCTTAGGGCTTTGCAAATGGTGTTCTCTATGCCTCAAACACTTTTCCCACCATTTTTCTTCTGCCCAACTCTAATTTATTCTTCAGACCTCAGCTTAAATATCATCTCGTTAGGGAGGCCTTCTTTAAACTCCCTAACGAGGTTGGGCCTCTTGCTGTCTCTCTGGATCAATCCATCGACACTCTCACAGAAGTCTGTATTTATGTAATTATGTAATATTAGTCTCTCCCCCAGGATTAAAAGTCCCATGAGGTAGGGACTGTTTCTCTTGCTAACAACCACTGTGTTACAGGGCCCCACTACCTTGTATACAGCAGGTACTCAATATTCTCTTATCAGGTGCAGCCTTTTATCTCACAAATATACCTTATTAGATAGTCTCAAAGGAGTAGGTGGAAGGCACATAAAGTTTGTGAGCACAGTGGTGGAGGCAGTGGCTGAATGGCAGAGATGAAAGAGTTTAAGGCTGGTTAAATGAGGAAGCAAGAAGGGAGCAATGAGGAGACTACGGGATGCTCAGTCGGTGAGTTTCCCCTCCGCTCCCCAACATCCCATTCCCACCCCAGACACGTCATTCAACAGTAATTCATGCATTTGTTTCTTTAGGGAATGAGGCAAACCTCAGATTACAAAACCAAGGCCAAAATAATTGTGCAGAATTAGAATGTGTCCAAGAAACCAGGCACAAGTCAATTGGATTAGACTTCAACACCGAGATGACTGTGTTCCTCCAAATAATCTTCAATTTAGGAAGCTTATACTCCTCCAATATGGGAAAGATAGTAAATACACTTTCTTCTGCGCTCAGTTGCTGAGGAAGAAGTTTTCTCTCCTGATGGACCAACACTATTTCTTTTTTGCTGCTCTTTTCCCTTCTCCCTTCCTTGGTTTCCCCTTTCCACGAAGCTTCTTTAGACGCATCTGCTCATCCTTAAAATCCTGATGCTCATCCCTGAATACAGAAAGAAAAAATAATTAGCCAGTATTTCTACCAGGCTGGAAAAGTACACTAATCTAGCACTGTTCCCTTAGGTCGTTCTAGTAATCAATCCTTGACTTCTACAGGGCACATGCTCAGCTTGGTGAGCAGAAAGGACAGGCAGTCCCCAAGATACAGATAGGTTGTGTTCCAAAAGTTCATTTCTAAGTCACAGTTTCCCCTCACAGGAACAATGTCACGAATAGCAGCTAATTCTCAGGCCAGCCACACAACACTAACAATTACCCCAAATTTCCCTATGACACTAAGACTAAACACTGAGGGGAGCAGAAAGCGGGTACAGTCATGTGCCGCATAACAATGTTTTGGTCAACGATGGACCGCATATATGACAGTGGTCCCATAAGATTAGTATCATAGAGCCTAGGTGTGTAGTAGGCTGTACCATCTAGGTTTGTGTAAGTACTCTCTATGATGTTTGCATAACAACAAAATTGCCTAACGATGCATTTCTCAGAAAGTTTCCCCATTGTTAAGCAATGCATGACTGTCTAAGCTTCAACAGCTACACAGAGACCCCGAGAGCCCCATAAATTAGCACCTCCTACAAGGGGAGAGGTCTGGAGGAAGCTGTCTTAATGGCAGTGGATAATTCACACAAACGGCTGCTGGGGAAAGGCTCAGGCAGAAGGAAGCCAAATCAAAAGACAGGTACCCTGGGACCAAGGCAGCCAGGACTGTTTGTACATGTGGAGGGGGTGTAAGATGAAGACTGCCAGGGCCGGTCTGGTGGTGCAGCGGTTAAGTGCGCGAGTTCTGCTTCGGTGGCCCAGGGTTCGGAGGTTCGGATCCCGGGCGCGCACCGACGCACCACTTGTCAAGCCATGCCGTGGCAGCGTCCCATATAAAGTAGAAGAAGATGGGCACGGATGTTAGCCCAGGGCCAGTCTTTCTCGGCAAAACGACGGTTGGCACCAGATGTTAGCTCAGGGCTGGTCTTCCTCACAAAAAAAAAAAAAGATGAAGACTGCCTACAATATATAAAAATGTCTGCATTCTAAGTGCAAATACCTAAAGAACAGTATAGTGTTTAAATATGTAAGCTCTGGAACTCATTTGAACCTGGGTTCAAATCACAGCTCCACCCTTTAGTAGCTGTGTGACCTTGGATAAGTGACCTTCCCTGTCTGCACCTTAGTCTTCTTGTCTGTAATAACGGATAATAATGGCATATGAATTAAAGGTAGGAAAGGGGTTTGCTGGGCCCAATTTTTAACTCCTTAGGATTTTAAAAAATAGATTGTGGGGTCGGCCCGGTGGCACAGTGGTTAAGTGTGCGCACTCCGCTGCGGCGGCCCGGGGTTCGCAGGTTCGGATCCTGGGCGTGCACCAGCGCACCACTTGTTAAGCCATGCTGTGGCAGCGTCCCCTGTAGAGTGGAGGAAGATGGGCATGGATGTTAGCTCAGGGCCACTCTTCCTCAAGAAAAAAAGGGGAGGATTGGCATCAGATGTTAGCTCAGGGCTAGTCCTCCTCACAAAAAAAATAAAAAATAAGAAATAGATTGGTTTTATAGGGTACACTGTTTCATTTCGTGAACATGATGGATACAACAGCTCTTTGGGATTAGCTGTGAGTGCCCACAAGTAATCTATTCTCAACAGAGCAGCCAGAGTAATTCTTCTAAAGTATGAGTCATTTAACTGCTCTGTTCACAACCCTGAAAATGGCTCCCATTTCACCCAGAGCAAAAGCCAAAGCCCTTACCACAGCCCTCAGAGGCCTTCCTGATCTGCCTGCTGTCCTACTGCTCTCCCCTTAGCCTGTGCTGCTCCTGGAACACACCAGGCGCACTCCCACCCACCGCCTTTGCTCTGCTCTTGCCTCTGCCTTGACAGCTCTTCCCCAGGTCCCACTTGGCTCACTCACCACCTTCAAGCCTCAGCTTAAACCTCATCTTTTCAAGTAGGCTGACCCTGACTGTCCTGTTTAATCCTGTGACCCGTCCTGGCTCCGCCCACTGACTGCCCTGTCAGCACAGTTGATCCTGCTCAGCCGGCTCTACTATTTTTTTTCCCATAGCATGTGCAACTTTGTAACATGCCACATAATTTACTTATTTATATGTTTTTCCCTCTTCTTCCTTCCCTCCCCCATTCCCATCATCCCCTAGCCAGAAAGAAAGCTCCAAAGGCAGGGATCTTTGTCTCTGTTGATGAAACAGCCCAAGCACCTGCTTGACGGAATGAATCACTGTTTTTGAAAACCTGTGCTTCCCTCCCCCCTTTTGTAGGTCTTTGAGTAATATTTTCTTTATTGAAGATTGTCTAGTTTCATCCTGCCTGATGCCACAGGAGGCCTTGCATTAGAGGCATCATTTACCATAACTAGTGACTAAACACATGAAAATAATCGTGCTTTTCCATGGATAACTAAGTGCTAAGTAATTTTTCCCTGTCTTCAAAGACAGTCAAGGCTTTATTTTTCAAACAAATGGAGAGTGGCAGTAAACAGGTAAAATTAAAATAGCTGAGTGTGATTTTGTTATGGGTTATAATTTTCTACTCAGGAGATCTGCCTTCCAGTGATATTTTATTTTGGGTCATAATAAAATTAATTTTTATTTTCTGAGCCCAGATTAATTTTAATGGCAAGGGAGATAGTCTGAAAGCAATTCCAGAAATTCAAAATATGTCATGAGTATAATCTCTAATAATATATTAACTAAGAAAATCTATTCTATTTTTCTCACTGCTGTTCCCCTCGTGCCCATCTTAAGTGTCTGCACATGGAAGGTACTTAAAAAAAATCTTTTGGATAAATGAATGTACCAATCTTTACCTATCTTGAATGAACTATTCATTTTATTATGTTAGAGTGAACAGTCTCAAATTCATTTCTGTATTGCTGCCCTAAAACAAGTCCAATTAAAACATGTTAAATTTTTTTTAAAAAGGAAGCGTTTTAACTTTATACAATTATGCACTGTTTGAATTCTTTTATATTGAGCATGTGTTAGTTTGGTAATTAAGACATTTTTTAAATAAAATGATCACGTAAGTCTTGCTAGAGCAGTATTCAGTCCTAAGCACCGGCTTCCTATATATATGCAGACACACAAATGCACGGTGCTAAGAGCCTGTGCAATTGACATACTGCTCTTAAACTACAGATTATTTAAACCAAATTAATATATCAAAAAGGGTATCAACTAAATATGCCAGAAGAGGGTGGAAGGAAATAAGAACTCCGAGAAAACTGCCACCAGGAAAGAAAGGAGGCTCCCGTACAACAGGTAGGAAGAGAGGCTGCGGGCAGGGACTCTCCATCCAACCGATGGGAACCTGCTGCTCTGCCAAACCCAGGTGGTGGAGGTTTTCTTCCTCAGCATTTGGACCAGTTTTCCTCTAGGAAGTTTTCCTTTAGGGAGCTTGCAGATTACTGAATAATTAAATATCTCTCTATAGCTCAGTATCTAGTCAATGTTAGTCAGGCTTTAGACAAAATTAAAATATGTCTTTCAATAAGTTCATGTTTCCTTTTTTTTGGTGTGCCCACTATGGATATTTTGAAAGCCTTTCCCCCTAAAACTAGTACCTTTTGAACTACCTGGGCACTATTATAAGAACCACAAAACTATAAGGATAGAAAGGCTAATTTTTTCCTTTTCTGATCTCCTAAAAAATCTCTGACAGGTTACTCTTTGTGTTTTTTTGTCATTACCTGTAGAGGCCAAGAAAACGTAGCGTCCCCATGAGCGCAAAGTAAGTGTTGTGATTTGGATACCAGTCATACGTCTCCTTCCTCTTGGCCAAAGGCTGCTCACTAAACAGTTTCACCACCTTCATGGATTTGGAATCAGTAGGCCTGGCCACTTCACCAAATAGCCGGGCACTCAGCCGACTCATGCGCAAGGCATATTCTGAAAGTGAGGACATTTCCTGAGCAGCAAGGGACAAGAGTCCCTACAGAAAATGGGAAGAAAGATAAACAGGTTAGTGTAAGAAATTCCCAGATTGTAACACTTGAGAAAATGGAAACACAGCAAGCCACACATGAATCAGTCCCTGGTGTTGGCAAGACGTGCCTTGGAGTTGAGAAATATCCACAGTCCAAGTGGCTATTTCCCTTGCTCGCTTTATATTTGCAATTTTTACATTTGGTGTTCGCGTACTATTACTCCCTTGCTGTACTGCCCTTTTTACAATGCACTATTTTGTGACTCAACAGGTTATTTACTGAGAGTCAGTTTACCTATCTATAGGCTAGATGAGGACAGAGAAATGAGTTATTCTACCCCAGCGTTGTTATTCTACCTTCAAAAAATACCCACCTAAGCAATCTGCAAAATAAATATGCTGACTGCTTGCCATCTAAAGGTTTAATCATGGCAGAGAAATAATTACGCTGTTGTCTTTATCATCAGCCCTTTGAACACTGTCCTCCTCAAGGACTCCAGATGGCTCTGGGAACGGCTAATGAGTTATGAGGTCATTGAGCCTCTAGGCTGCTGGACTGAATTCTGCCTAGAGACTGAGAACCATTTGGGGAAAACAGAGATAGTAGTCTTATAGAAATAAACTCAACAGCTCAAAAGATTCATTTAGTCCTGAATAGAAGGCACTTATGAATTGTGATGTTACTTGTCTTATCTTCCATCATACATATTCTGCTTCAGTGTAAACTGGCTAAGTTCTTAATAGCTGAAAACAGTAATTTTTTCTTCAGAGGCATAGAATATTGAAATAGGTATAAGAATGATATCTGTAATATGCATAAATTACAGCCAATATACATCAAAAATTATATAGGATACACAAAAATCAAGAATGTCGCTAGCGGAATAACTATCTCACCCCATTCCAGAACAGATGTGGGGGTTACTGTTGGCAGAATATGCTAATTTACATGAAATTTTTGTAGTGAGATGCGAATCTTTGCTGACTAAGAGACTATCATGGGGGATGGTTCAGCTGGGATGAAAAGAAGTTGATCTGCAAACAGAAAAAACGCATAAACTTATCTTGAAAAACCAACAGGAGAAATGTACAAAAACCCTCCTAAACAGGAATGGTGCCAAGTAGATTTCAAAATAGCTCTTGCAATAAAAAATCCCAAAACCTCAGTGTTTCAATTAAGGAATTTTTCATGTCCATTTCAAGATCCATTGAAATAGCAGAGGCTGACCTCAAACCAATTGCAGAACATTAATCTCACCATTTACCATTCTGAATACCAACCAAGGAATCTTAGGCCAGTAGTGCCACCTGAAGGCCAGCGATGGGAGAACTGTCAGGTCCAAGGTCTCTTCCCGGGGCACCCGTCCCCCAATCTGGGGATCATTTGTAAGCCCTGCTCTTTGCTTTTCCTGTTAGCACTCTCAGTTCCCAGGTTCATTTCTCTCCCAACTCGTGCTCCATTATGTGGATGGGAAAGGGTTTGGGGTTGTTAGGGTTATATTTTCATCAATGAGAAAAAAGTCATTAATAGTACAATGTTTAAATAGAAAATAGTAACAAATTAGTGCTATAAACCTCTAAAGGCCTTGCAAATGTCCCGAAGTTGCCTTCAGAAGTTACAAAAAGTTTCTTTGCATGCTTTATCTTTTCTCTTCCTTCCACCTCTCAAGTTATCTTTTTCCATAAATCAGATAAAAAAAACTAAAAATAAACTTTCTTAATTAACTTTGCTTTGTTTTGCTTAATTACTATTATACCATCAGAATAGATTTCTGTTGCAATTGCACAGTATTTCCACAATCAGTTATTTGTAAGGATCTATCATTTTGTTGCAGTGTTTTCAGGAAAATATGTTCTGAATTCCAAATCACTTCATTTTTGAATGAAGAGGCAGCATGGAATCCTGAGGCCTAGGTTTGAGTACTGGCTCTGCCACTGATTAGCTAGATTATTTTGAACAACTACCTATTCTCTCTAAATCTGAGTTTCCTTTTCAGAAAACAAAGCTTGCAGGACTATTGTGAGAAATAAGTAAGATAGTGGCACTCAGTAAATGGTAACCCCCAAAACAGAAAAAACCTAAACCCATTTGTAGGTTTGGTGCTCGTATGTTCTATATAGACACATTTGTTTATTCCTTATTCTCATTTAATCATGCAAAAAAAGATGCAGCCTCCACGCAGTTACCTCCCTGGAATGATATCCTTAACTTACAAAGACTAAAACCTAGGGGAGGGGACCAGCAGCTTGGTAACTTGACAGGTAGCAAGGAGAAAGGGACTCATTAGGACAGTGGTCACCAAAACCATCACAAGATGCTAAGTTATCTCCATGCCCATTTTGGAATGTAGCAAATTACTGGGACACATACCTCATAAATAATAAGATCTCATTAGAATCCACTGGAACATGGTTTTACCACAAAAATCCAAGTCCTAAAACTTTTATGATGAAGAAAGGGAATAAACTTCTTTAAACCTGAATGCCTTACTAGAAACAAAGAACCACTTGCAAAATAGAAGGGAAGTGAAAATGGTTATAACAATAATCAATTACCACTTTGTAGTCTTCTTACACAGAGCACAGACATGTATGTCTCTGATGAAGAATGGCACAGAAAGTTGGTATGCTTTTTTTTCTTTTTAAATATAAGCTAAAACAGCTAAAATGTTCTGCTGTCCATAAATATTGGTCTTAAGATTGGCAAAATGCCACTTTATACAAGCTTTAATTTTTGTTTTGTTTTGTTTTTGGTGAGGAAGATTAGCCCTGAGCTAACGTCTGTTGCCAATCCTCCTCTTTTTGCTAAGGAAGATGGGCCCTGGGCTAACATCCGTGCCCATCTTCCTCCACTTTATATGTGGGACACCTGCCACAGCATGGCTTCATAAGCAGTGAGTAGGTCTGCACCCTGATCTGAACCTGCGAACCCCTGGCCTCGGAAGTGGAGCGCGCAAACTTCACCACTACACCACCAGGCCAGCCCCAAGCTTTAAATTTTTTAAACATTGGAAAGCCTTACTTATGATTTTTCAGGACCCTGGTACGCCTCCTTACAGAATCTTTTAATTTTATCTTAAAAAAAAGAATATGATGACCATGTACAAGACATTAAAGTAAAAAACAATTTACACGTCAATTACATTTTTATTCACCTGAAGCCATTCTAAGGGGTACAAAATAGTCACTTAAAACTGTCACTTTTCTTTAAATGTGAACTAAACAGTATTATGAAGAAAAATTAACTGGAGTTGAAGATGCTATCCAAAAACAAATTATTCAAATATGCTGGAGCAAAATATGTTAAGCTCACACGAGAAAATACCCCTATTTTTACTTTGGCATAAAAGGGCAAGTTTCTTTGACCTTTCTGATAGGTCTGGTGCATTTACAAGATCCGGTTTGTTTCAGTAATTGGCTTTGGTTTAGGTTTGCCTTTTTTCTTTGAAAAGTGCAGATGAAGTGCAGGAGTTCCTAACCTGGGTATCCCTTAGCTGGTGAATCCCGCGGAACTTGCAAAGTGTATGCTGACATATGCGTGTACGTCTGTGCGTAAATTCTGCTGGGGGGGAGAGAGCTTTCTCCAGCTTCTCAAAAAACACTGGTTAGGGGAGAGGAGCAGCTTTGGAGGAGAAAAGCGCGTCGGAATCTTGCCTCTGCGCTTTAACGGCCATACCGCGTTTGTAGTAGTATGTATTCTTTGCCCCCGTTTTCTCATCTGCTACATGAGGACAGTTATACCACCGCACTGCGCTGTGACGCTGACCTGCAAAACTCATGGCCCAGTGCCTGTCCTAATAATCATCAGACCTCAAGAACTCGCACACTGCGCACACGTGTTTCACAAAAAATCTAAACACACGATTTATTATTTTTAAAGCCCCGTACCGATTATTTCACTGGGTCGTAGAGACATGAGCGACTCTGAATATATGTCAGCTTTGTTCAGTTCAACAAGAACATCCTCAGCCCCCTCCAACTGACTCAATCACGCCTGCCTGTGATGGAAGCAACAGTGTCAACCGACGTTTGAATCGGTAGGGTATTTCGGGAATATTTTTAAGTGTCACTTTATCATATTTTTCTTAAGCTGGTAACAAAATTAATCTGTATCCCCCAGACAAAGCTACGGTGCAGAAGGCGGTCTGATGAGCAGAGAAACTGAGCCCTGAACGCTGCCTAATCAGGAAGCGAGTAACTGCGCCTGAGGAAAGCACGCTAGCGTCCTTCGTTTGGTAAATCCCCCAATTTACGCAGGAAAAGGCCAAGTTGTTCGTGTGATACCTCTGAAACCTCCGAGCGGGTTAATAATGAAATTGACTCATCCTATTCTTGACGACTCTAGAAGCTTGGAGACCCCCGCAGGACCTCTACAGCCACCGTCCGTATCTCACTACAGAGCCCCCCAAAGTCAGGGACATCCTTACCTAGTCGTGACCTTCCTCTCCCGCGCGCCCCCTTCCCGGAAGACCCGCCCCCAGCCTGGCTCGGAGTTCCGGCCCGAGACAACTACGGAGAGCAGTAGAGAAACGGAAGCTTGGGGGCTAGAGGGGAGCCCTAGTGAAAGACCCGGAAATCCTAACGCCCTCTCTTGGAGGCCTCAGAGGTCATACCTGGCGGCTGCGCAGGGAGGGTAGCGCCTCCGGGTGTGCGGAGGACGAGAGGAGGCGGTAGGTTCGGCGGAGAGAGGACTGGCTTGTCCTGCAGGGTTCGCTAACTGAATTTTGTTGCAAGTGGCTGCAGGGCTGCCCCTGAAACCTCTGAAGCTATGGTTAAGCGTGTGCTGTGTGGTGGAGGATGAAATGCGCTTTCTTTTCTTCTGCTTTTTTTCCGTGTGTTTTCTTTCTCTTTTCATCCAGCCTAGGCCTTGACGTATTCAAGAGCATTGCTTGAGCCTAGGGGCAGAACAGTCGTCTGACCCCCCTGGGGTGCCATTCCCCTCTCCTTCCACTTATCTACTCATCCTCTAATAGTCAATTAGTATCAACGCCAGGAGGCCATTCT